CGGTAATTTTTCCACTAACTTCCTGTATGCACTATAGTCTCTAGCTCTTCTAATTTTTTCACTCACTCACTGTATTTACTGACACATCTATACATATCTCTTATCTCCCTGGTCTTGAGTCGCATTTATTCTTCAAATACCCCACTGCATTATTATGGCAACACTATTTAGGCCAGACACAACCGTTCACCTTCCTTCCCCCGGCCTCACTTAGCATCTGCACTATTTACTATGTTTTCTTTTCTGTGATCACTTATATTTCCTTCTTTCGGGGCTTAAGTGATTATATGCACTCTTATGCGTGCACACGCCTATATCCCACACTCTATTCCTTATGGCAGTCAGAAATTACCACCAAAACACGAGCTCAAACCGCGTGACTCCTCCACGAGTGTGTGTGTGTGTGTGTGTGTGTGTGTGTGTGTGTGTGTGTGTGTGTGTGTGTGTGTGTGTGTGTGTGTGTGTGTGTGTGTGTGTGTGTTTGTAAGTGTGTGTGTGTTTGTATGTGTGTGTGTGTGTGTACTTACCTAGTTGTACTCATCTAGTTGTGATTGCAGGGGACGAGTTATAGCTCCTGGCCCTGCCTCTTCACTGGCCTCTACTGGGTCACTCTCCCTGCACCATTAGCTTCATCATACATCTGTTTAAAGCAGTGAATGGATCCTGTCTCCACTACATCGTTTCCAAACTATTCCACTTATTTGACTACTCTGTGACTGAAGAAATACTTAATAACATCCCGGTGATTCCTCTGTGTCTTCAACTGTGTGCCCTTGTTGCTGTGTCCCATCTCTGGAACATTCTGTCTCTTTCCACCTTGACATTTCGTCTCAGTATTTTATATTTCGTTATCATGTCCCCCCTATATCTCTAGTCCTCTAGTGTCGTCAGGTCGATTTCCCTTAACCTCTCCTCGTAGGACATAGAAACTAGTCTTGTTGCAAACCTTTGCACTTTCTCTAGTTTCTTTACGTGCTTGGCTAGGTGTGGGTTCCAAACTAGTGCCGCATACTCCAATATGGGCCTAACGTACACGGTGTACAGGGTCCTGAACGATTCCTTATTAAGAGGGGAGGGGGGAATGCTCTTCTTAGGTTTGCTATGCGCCCATAAGCTGCAGCAGACATTTGTTGATGTGTGCCTCAGGAGATGTGCCTGGTGTTATACTCACCCCAAGATCTTTTTCCTTGAGTGAGGTTTGTAGTCTCTGGCCCCCTGGACTGTACTCTGTCTGCGGTCTTCTTTGCCCTTCCCCAGTCTTCATGACTTTGCACTTTGTGGGGTTGAACTCCAGGAGCCAATTGCTGAACCAGGCCTGCAGCTTGTCCAGATTCCTTGGTAGTTCTGCCTAGTCCTCATCCGATTGAATTCTTATCATCAACTTCACATCATCTGGAAACAGGCACATTTCTGAGTCTATTCCTTCCGTCATATCGTTTACAAATACCAGAAACAGCACCGGTCCTAGGACTGACTCCTGTAGAACCCCACTCGTCACAGACGCCCACTCTGACACCTTGCCTCGTACCATGACTCGCTGATGTCTTTCTGACAGGAATTCCCTGATCCGTTGTAGTGCCTTCCCTGTTATCCCTGCTTGGTCCTCGAGGTTTTTGCACAAATTTCTTGTGTGGAACTGTGTTAAACGCCTTCTTACAGTCCAAGGAAATGTAATCTACCCACCCCTCTCTCTCTGTCTTTCTGCTGTCACCCTCATAGAACTCCAGTAGGTTTGTGACACAGGATTTCCCGTCCCTGAAACCATGTTAGCTATTGTTGATAAGCTCATTTCTTTCTATGTGTTCCACAACTCTTCTTGTTAATTCTTCTCAGTATTTCATACTTCTTTATCATGCATACCTTACCTCTTATGTCCTCCAGTGTCGTCAGGTTAAGTTCCTTTCACCTCTTCTAATTGGACATACCCGTTAGCTCTGGGACTAGTCTTTTTGCAAACATTTAAACTTTCTCTATTTTCTTGAAATGCTTGAGCAGATGAGCCCTCCATATTGGTGCTGCATTTTCCACTATGGGTCTGAAGAACACGATGTACAGGGTCGTGAATGACTCCTTACTTAGATGTCTATACGCTATTCTTATGTTTGCCAGGCGCCCGTATGCAGCAGCAGTAATTTGGTTGATGTGAGCCTCAGAGGATTTACTCAATATGATGTTCACCCGAAGATACTTTTCCTTGAGTAAGATTTGCAGCTTTTAACACCTGAGTGTGTATTCCGTCTGCGGTCTTCTCTGCCCTTCCCTAAGCTTCATGACTGCTCTTTGCGGGGCTATATATATATATGTATGAATATATATATGTCATGCCGAATTTGTTAAACTGGTCAGTTAACATGAACTCATTTAAAATTAAGTTCTTTCTAATTTTTTCTCTTAAACGTTTAAAGAATGCTTGAAGGATATTAAGCAACAAATGCTCACTAGAAGTGGAAAGTATTTATAAATGTTTTAAGAATTTGACTTTACGCTTATGACTAACAATTGTGTCTGTAGAAAACCAGAAGTAGTTCCCCATAATGTCTAGACTGAAACGCCTTTAATAACTTACCTCCATTGGACTGATATCCTGATAAAAAGCTTTCAGCACATGCATCATTATCAGCATGAATATTGGTTGGAAAAAAGTCCAAGTATGAAAGCAAACAATACATTTGCTTGAACATACGGCAACCCAGTGCTTTATAAGAGTCCATCATATTTTGCGCTTACTCGGCATGATAATCTAGTTTGTGCCTTCCTAGGAAGTTCTAGACAACATGTTTCAAAGCTCCCCACGCAGCCAGCTCTAGTAAAGTCCGTTTTGACAGGAACACTGGATCGGACAACAGTTCACGTATTTGTGGTCCAACAAATACTCTGGACATAAGTTTCGTGTCAGTTGAAACTCCTTCAAATATTTCCTTAAAGTAACGAAATCCTGCAGCTTCACGGCCTTTGCGCAGTTTTTTATTAGGTCCAACTTTATATGCTACGTTGAAAGAAATATCTTCTGAGGATGCAGCCGTGACATATGCTGCATGATAAATTTTCTCGTAATATGGTCTCTAATTGCCGGCATTTTTGATCTTGTAATGGTTGCCATACTCGCAACTATTCCACAAACATAGGAAATAAGTGTGTTTTGTGTTACCAAATATTAACCCTATCACTTTTTCACTTTGTCATATATTCCCCTTGTGGTTGTTGTGTTGTGTTAGTCTAAGGAGAATTGGCTTGTGTGTCTTCTTTAATTCCCCAGCTTGAACCACTGGCACTGATGGCTTTTCATTTCACTTGTGGAGGAGCACCGCTTTCAGACTTACTTTGTTGGAATTGATAAATAGTCTCTATTCATAAAAATTGTGTTCTTAACCTAATTTCTTCTTAAAACCATTTTACCGTTTTTCCATTTGTTAAAATACCGTCAGACTAGTACAGCGTGCACGAAAATAAGATGTGTTCTATTAGATAAATGTACACAGATGTAACTAATGTGACATTTTATTTCACTTTCTAGCTTCTGCAGAGCGAAACGTTGCCACAGTAAAATATCACATTAGTTGTACCTGTGTCTATATAACTAACATTTTATCGGTAATTCTACAATTATTACAAATTTAACTCGTGTAGAGTAATTAATTAAGTGGATTCGTTGCAAAGTCACATCTGGTGGTTCATAAATGTTATTCGTTTCAACTTTTTATCACATTCAGTATCATAAGCAACGGATCCAAGTGTCCTCACTATGTGGCACAGGTTTTAATGATAAATTAAACACATGTACAACAGTTGGCTATCTTCACTGAGGAAACGTTGGGCCACACAGTGGCTTCATCAGTCCTGGACAAAGAAGAATGGTGAAGATCAGAAAGAGTTTGAGGTACTCAGTCCCACAGCCTGGAGTCGATGTAATCAGTCCATCAGTCTTGTAAAGAATACATCATATGCATGAAGAAGTGGCTTATATATTGCAGACAGGTGAGGTGAAGCAGTCGTAGGTGATATCACATTGAACAAATCCATGGTGGAAGTTGGTTATGCCTATAGAATAAGCAAGTGAAAAATTCCCTGTATGAGAATCCAAAGACGTTGTTATGTCTGACAGGAATGTAGATAAATGGACCGGAGAACCGACACTTTTTAATGTTCACTCACAATCTAGTTTTTCTTCAACCGAAGTAGCGCTTGAATGCAATCTCGACTCTTTTTTTCCTTTATCTCGTGGTGTATAAGTGGCACATATATAGCAAAGGATGTCTGCATTATTCTGTCATCCTCGTCAGTTCATGTTTATCTGAAACAGAGATTTCATATAATAAAGCAAATGCAGACGAATCTAAATATGGATAAGTGTATATGGCAGAGAAATGTAATTTAAGAAAAATAAGCACCAGTGTATACAATGAATAGGATTTGTAAAGATGTCTGAACAATGAGACAGATAGAGTTCAATTTATGCTCTCCGACACTGCCGGACAAGTAGGCTCAATGTGTAGATTTAATTTTTTCCTCAGAGATAAAACATGTAACATGTCGCCAATATCTGACGTGATGATTTAATTCTGACTTCATATTCAGTTTCAGCATTCGAGAAGATGGTAGATATTAGTTTTTTGTATAGAAACAGTAAATTTATTGTTGTCTATGGTCATCAGTCGTATTACACAACTATAGTGCACACGTTTTCATTTCAAGATTTTTTTTTTTACCCTGAGCCCCATCGTCCATCGAATTTTAATTCACTCACTAATATGCTTTTATTCAATAAATGTACATAATGTCAACTAAATACTTTTTTATTAGATAACCAATATGTTGAGCAAATTAAAGAAGAATGTCATCTACCATCTTCTCCTAAACTCTTTTAAATGTTTGATCATCAATTGATTTTAAATTACAAGAACAGAAATCTTAGAACAACAATGAACGTGTCGAAAAATATATAAATTATAAGAATACGTTAAAGATAATCACATATATTAATACAACTGATAATCTTGCAGAGACGTGTTGTCCGTACCCTTACCAACGGGTACTAGACGAGTGCTTTTATCTGAGCACAGAGAAACTATCATGGAGCCATGCCCGTCAATACTGTCATGGAATGAAAGGGACGCTGGCCATGCCAATAAATGTCTACGCCCTAGAATCATTTGTCCACGATAAAGGAG